CTAAAACCTTAGATATTTTCCTTTCATTTGATATCATTTTTTTGAATATCTAACACTTAACCTGCATATTGGGGGGGATTTAAAATAGCAACTTTTTTACAAAAACTAACTTTTTCAACTTAATTTTTGAAAATGTCCCGGAAATACTGTGTCTTTTAAACATATATCAAATTAAAGCTTATTTTATGTACTATAAAATGAAAAAAAAAAATTTGTCCCGACACCTTATCTTCTACATGTAAACGGTTGCCGTAGTTAAAAAAACACTATTTTTGTGTTAAAATTTTCGATTTTCGATTTTTAATTTTCAACTTAAAAATGCTATAACTTTTCGAAAAATGCATGTATCAGCACAATTTTTTTTTTTCTAAATACATTATAAGTACATCTTCCATTTGACATACTTTTTATTAAAATTAGACAATTTCCCCTTATATAGGGGGGGTTCAAACTTTGAAACATTGTATAAAAAATAGAACTTTTTCAACTGAACTTTTGAAAATGTTCCGGAAATACTGCGTCCTTTAAACATATATCAAATTAAAGCTTATTTTATGTACTATAAAATGAAAAAAAAAAATTTGTCCCGACACCTTATCTTCTATGTGCAAATGGCTGTCGAAATTATAAAAAAAATGTAATGTTTACGATAAAAATCACCTTTTATCAGGATGTATTTTGTACTTAAAACTGCCATAAATTTTTCAAAAATGAACAAATAAAAATAATATTTTTTTTATATTGAAACTTTAGGTAATTTTCTTTCGTTTGATATCATTTTTTTTGAAAATCTAACACTTATTCTGCTTACTGGGGGGGATTTGAAATAGCAACTTTTTTTACAAAAACAAACTTTTTACTTAATTTTTGAAAATGTTCCGGAAATACTGCGTCCTTTAAACATATATCAAATTAAAGCTTATTTTATGTACTATAAAATGAAAAAAAAAAATTTGTCCCGACACCTTATCTTCTATGTGCAAATGGCTGTCGAAAATTAAAAAAAATGTAATGTTTACGATAAAAATCACCTTTTATCAGGATGTATTTTGTACTTAAAACTGCCATAAATTTTTCAAAAATGAACAAATAAAAATAATATTTTTTTTATATTGAAACTTTAGGTTATTTTTTTTCGTTTGATATAATTTTTTTTTGAAAATCTAACACTTATTCTGCTTACTGGGGGGGATTTGAAATAGCAACTTTTTTTACAAAAACAAACTTTTTAAACTTAATTTTTGAAAATGTCCCGGAAATACTGCGTCTTTTAAACATATATCTAACGAAATCTTATTTTATGTACTATAAAATAAAAAAAAAAAATTTGTCCCGACACTTTATCTTCTGCATGTAAACAGTTGCCGTAGTTAAAAAAACACTATTTTTGTGTTAAAATTTTCGATTTTCAATTTTTAATTTTCAACTTAAAAATGCTATAACTTTTCGAAAAATGCATGTATCAGCACAATTTTTTTTTTTCTAAATACATTATAAGTACATCTTCCATTTGACATACTTTTTATTAAAATTAGACAATTTCCCCTTATATAGGGGGGGTTCAAACTTTGAAACATTGTATAAAAAATAGAACTTTTTCAACTGAACTTTTGAAAATGTTCCGGAAATACTGCGTCCTTTAAACATATATCTGATTAAAGCTTATTTTATGTACTATAAAATGAAAAAAAAAAAATTTTTCTCTACGACCTATCTTCTATGCGCAAATGGCTACTGTATTCAAAAATATGCTATTTTAACAAATTTTTTTTTTATAAATTAAACACTATCTATAGATTTGCATCGAAGCGTTTTTTATGATAGTGATTTTAATCACTGTCAGATATCATATATACTGGACCCAACTATGCCACGACCCCACTGTGCCGCCACCCCACTGTGCTGGGTTTTTTT